CAACCTGCCCCTGTGTATCCCGGCCCGCAGCAGGTCCATTTGCTGCCGCTCTCCCAAGCAGCGCAGCCCTYGGTAGACGCCGCACGCTGGGTTATTCCTCTGCTCCTCCTCCTGCAGTCTCAGCAGAGGCTGAGGTTAAGGAAGCCCCTTCACATCCTACATGCGGAGCATGAGCAGGAGCTGAGGCCCGTGGGACACGCYGCTCCGGCCGCAGCGAGGGCCCTGTATCCACAGGATTCCATATGCACCAACTGCAGGGCTCAAATCCCAACGTTAACTCCAGGCTGAACTACTGGGTGCTATGCAGGGTGCTATGCTCGCCCACAGCTCACGTGGCCTTTTCATGTCAGGTTTCTTGGCCTCCTAACCCAGGGTTTGCTGCTATCCAGGCTCTTTGGACCTAAGTTCCATCTCCTCYCCATCTCCTTCCCGTTCAGACCCACAGCCTTTCCAAGTCAGTCCTTGGAAGGCATCTTTCATCTTCCATCATCACCGGCCTTCCAAAGCCATCTTCCTAAGCACGAGCTGGGGCAGGTGCCACAGCATCACTGAGTGATTTGGCCTGGTACTTCCGAGCCATCGTAATCCGCCCAACTTGGCGGGTTATCCTGCAAGCATTTCTTTTTCTATATTCTGGAATATATATGTTAGCAGGGAGGAAAGAGGTTGGAAAAGTACAGTTGGAGTGGATGTGGAATTGGAACAAAAATACCCCCAGTTGAAGCGTTGCTGTGTTTTACAGTAATCGCTGATTAAAATTGGAACGCACTAAATTCCGCCTGTCACTGGCAGCATCGTCTCTGCCGGCGCCAGAGCGGAAGCGGGGAGAGAAGCGGCTTCTCCGCACACTTCCACAATATTGTGGATATTTTCCACAAAATATCTGCTCTGCAGGATGCTCTGGGAAATGAGGACGTCCTGGCTCACATTTTCCTCTGCGCTTTCCCACCCTGCAGGACCAGGATCGTGCTCTGCTGCAGCTGCGGCCGCTAAGGCGGCTGCTTTTACTGCACAGAGGCTGTGGTTGCAGGTCTCCCATGCGGGAGGCTTTTCTCCTGCGAARCCTTCTCGGGGAGCGGGCTCGGTTCTTGAAGCACAGGGGCTCCTGYGCAGTGTGCCGGGGCTGTTGCTGCCCACAGGACACGTCCCACATCCCGTTCTCCTCGCATTCCTCTCCATTTCTCTTGAATACGTGGCTATAAAACTCCTCCYGACCGTTTAACTCCCCAGTCCTTTGCCCCTTGCACACCCTCCAGTTCAGCATTCTCGGCCTCCTCCTGCTTTTCCTCTTCCAACCTCTTTTTCCCAGCCCCCTCAAGCTTTCCCTCTCCTGGCTGTATTTGCCCTTCCTGGCCCAGCAGGCTGCGGAGCTCAGTCCCCAGGGAGCTGCTCCGTGCACAGTAAATCTGGGGAGCGGATCTGCAAACACCTGCTCTTAGCAGGGCTTTCTCCRTGCATTTTCCTCCTCGCTTGCGCTCCTGGCTGAACGTGGAATATTTTTAGCTCTGTGCATGTGAACAGAGCGTGGAGCCTGGCGAGGTCCTTCGGGATGGGCTCGCGGGACACGGCGCCTGGGCGGGCGCCGAGCCGGGCGCTCCCGGCTCACCTGCATTCCAGCCCTGGGAAGCAAAGGATGCTGAGAGAGCYCCTCCAGCTGCAGGGTGCTTCCCATGGACAGTGTGGTTTGCTGAGGCTGGAAGACAGGAACGCTTAGGAAGGATCAGGGAGAAGCTGAAGGAGGTGTTGAGATGAAGGCAGGAAATGTTCGCTCAGCTCCTCATAGGTGATGAGCTCTGCGCTGCTCAAGGTCATCAGTGAGACAGGCAGGCAGCCCTGGAGGGCATGGGAATCAGTTTGGCATCTCTTTTGGGGACCTTCTGCCTAAGTACCTTGTGTACGGCCACCAACGGGGACTGCCCCGGTCCCAAAGAGGGAGTTTTGGCTGCATCTGCAAACACCATGTGGGAGTACAAGGGGCAGAAGGCACCTTGTCCCTTTACCCTTGTACATAAAAACGATTTCCAGGGCTGATCCCAACACCTAAGACCCAAGGCAAAAGTAGAAGCTTGTGCTAAGAGCAAGGGGCAGCAGGAAAACCATCAGAGCCTTGCAGGCTCAGTCCATCAGCACCCATTGCACGGCAGAAAGCAYGAGCGAGCTAGGACAGCCATGGACAAAGTACCAGGCTAGGAGATCTTCAAGTTTACCCTGTTTCCCAGTTGCACTCTTATTTCCAGCATCATGGAGTACTCTTCCCTGCTTAAACTCACTCTTTGAAGTTTCTCCCAGGGATTTTTCCATCCACACTGATCAGTGAAGAAGAACAGTTAGGGACTAATGGTTTCCAGCTTCSCTCAAATCTGCACTTCCCTTAACAGGCAGCCAAAACAAATTGTTTCCTCCAAGCATCTGGACTGGGGCATTAGCTCTTTAACTCTCCATCTGATTTGCGGTGGCCAATGTATTTTGTCTCGCTTGAAGACTGATGTTTTTGGGATGTTTTGGTCCTCCTGGTGATCAAAGGGCGCTGCCATGTCCAGATTAGGCAGATCCCTGCCCTGAAAGCAAGATATTGTAACAAGTAAATGAGAGGCAGATGACACTAAAGCTGAGGATGCTCCAAGGAGCAGCTCGCTGTGCAGTGAAGGGGCCTGGAGCACAACTGGTACCCAGAGATGCCAAAGAGAAAGGTGAAAGGCAGAGCTGGGAGAAGGAGTCCCAAAGAGCATTAAGAAAATCTGACTACAGTGAAGTATGGGGCTCACATTGAGATTTAGGAGGAAGTCAGAAGCTGTGCAGAGCCACAAACGGTCTGAGCTGCATGTGGAACAGGGCASGAAGCTGACGGAGGGGTAGAGAGGGGAACAAAACCAACACAGGGAAATGAGAGGCATCGGGGTGACGGAGGCACACCACAGTATCCAGATCTTTGTGCTCCATCTACATTTCCTCCTTGCATACGTTGAAGCGACAGAAATCAGCTCTCAGCACTTCTAGGTAGCTCCTGTGCCTGAGAACCTGGAAGCAAATTCTGATTCACAGATGTCTCCTGCTCCTCACATTGAATATGTTGCCAGGACTCGTAGACAGGAGCTGTCTAACAGCTTTAATGTGCTTGGATTTGTCCCTATAGCTGCTGCTAATGTCTTGATTGGTGCTATTGAAATCTCTTGTCAAACATATGGTAATAGGCTCCTCACGGATGTTCCTGCTCTTCAAGAACTCAGACCTGGATTCCTTGTTTTCTTTAATGAGTTCATTCCTCTCTTTCTGCATCCCTGCCTGGCCAGATATGACTAGGAAGAAAAAAAATGTGTGCTATTTTTTGTTACTAATACTAGAGGGAAAAAATCTGTTTAAATTAAATATATGTATCTTTTTAGTGATAAATCCCACAAATTCACTGTACAACCTCCACCACCCTTCACACATCACCAGTAATAAGCTCTCAGTGTGTCAGGGCACTAATAGGTCTCAATTGTCCTAACTGACCTCACCTGGGCCTCCCTGCCCTGGAGCTCCATTTAAGCCTGGGGCCAGCTCTTACCTGAGCTGGCTTCTAAGTGATCCTGTTTTTTCTCTTCATTCTTGCCTAGTTTGACTGAGCTGGGACTTGGGGGGGGTATTGCTGTCACCTACTGAGCTGGGCTCAAGCACTCAGGTATGTTCTTTAACTCTGGCAGTTTTTCTGCAGCACTCAGTTTATAGCAGATTTGGTCTTTTTAAGTTTTTTTTCCTCCTCTATTCTGTCTTATGGAGAGTCTAGGTTCTAACCTGTGTCTTACAGTAGCAAACACAGGGCTGGTGCTTGTGCAGGCTACATGAGATGGCAGTGGAGTGTCAAACAGGGTGGACATGAGGAATGTTTTCCTTGTGCATTGTCCTTGCTAGGGATGATCAAGGCAGTGTCAGGAGCCTTGCACTGCCTCCTCCGTATCTGAGGTTTAGTCACACTGGGTAACCCACGAGGTGCTGCATTTCCTCCAAGTAAATGGAGCCGGGTGCCACAGCAGTGTCTGTAGTGCTTCCAGAGCAATGTTCAGCTCCTGGAGACATCTTGGACTTGAAGCTGTGGGTCCAGCGTGTGTCTCTGGGGAAAGTCTGAGCTTCACCCTGCTCGTGTAGCACCCTCAATATCCCCAGTATTGATCCGAGGGATCTCACATGAGCGCTCCAGGGCCTGGGGAGGGTAAAAAAATCTCAATCTATTTTGTCTCTTTTATAGACAATCAAGGAAAATTATGTATTTGTAAATGCTCTCCACCTGGGAGATTGGATGCTTTCAAGGACTTAATGCCTTGGGAGGTATGTAGGGAAAGGTGATGTTCCCAATGGATGGCAATGACCTACAGCCCTGGGAAGGGGGAGGAGGAGAAGAGGGCATCTAGTTAAGTGCAGGGACTGAATGATATTGTGGCCTGGTTTGGAGCACAATTATCCAAGAACACGGGGCCTCTGGTGTTAATTAAGCGGATATCAGTGAGGTATTCATTAATGGAGCACGTGTTGGGAATGTCGGGAATACCAGGGATGTTCCYAGGGCGGCCGCGCCCCCGGACACCCGCTCCGGAGCCGCCCCGGCCCGCGGGGTTCGCGGTCGCTCGCACGGCGCCTCAGCGGGACCCGCCCGGACCGGCCCGAACCGGCCGGGGGCGCCGCCGGTACCGCSGGAGCGCTAGGGGCGGTGCCAGGCGGGAGGCCCCGCCTCGCGGGAGCCACCGAGGGCGCCGATTGGCGGCGGGGCCGAGAGGCGGGCGCTGATTGGCGGCGGCGCTGCGGGGCGGCGGCGCTGCCGGCAGCAGGTGGCTCCGCTCGGCCGCGCTGCGCCCCGCGCTCCCGCTCCGCGCCCGCTGCCCCGCTCCGCTCCGCGCCGCCTCGCAGAGGCCCCCGCCGCAGCCAAGACGCCGCGGGCCGTGCTCCGAGTGAAGAATGGGGCGGCGAAGCTCGCCAAGCCGCCGGCGGCCGCGGCCGAGGCCCCCGGCAGCGCGCCCGGCCTCTTCATGGAGCGCTCGCAGAGCCGCCTCAGCCTCTCGGCCTCCTTCGAGGCCCTGGCCATCTACTTCCCCTGCATGAACAGCTTCGACGAGGAGGACGCGGGTAGGGCGGGCGCAGCGGCCCCGGGCACGCGGGGAGGGCGCGGGGGGGCCCGGCGGGAGGAAGGTGCCCCGAGGTAGCGGGTGGATGTGGGGCTGGGGGAGGCCGCGGCAGGCGGGTGAGGGAGATGAGGGCAGCGGTGGCCCCTGGGGAGGAGGATGAGGAGCTGGGAGGATGAGGAGCTGGGAGGAAGCCATGCGCAGGAGCCGGGGATAGAGGGGATGTGGGCTCGCTGGTGTCGTTCTGGTGCGTGAGGAAGCTAGGCCGCCTGTGTGGGGACATGCGTGGCGGGCGGATTAACTGGGGGCTTTAGCGCCACGATAGAAGGTGCCGTCCATGGGCTTGGTGCTGTCGGAAGCAGAATTTGCTCAAGCCCCAGCTCTGCCCTGTGCTGAGCCGCCCTGCRCGCCGTGAAGGACGGCGCTGGGCACCAGGCATCGCCGCTGTCCAGCCCGGCTTTGAGCCACGGGCGCTCGGGGTGGTGGTTGCGAGGGGTCATTAGCACAATACTCGGTGCCCCTTTCAGGGCGAAAAAAGGGATTGTGCTGAAACTGAGGTAAAGTTATTTACATAATCCTTGCAGAATAGGTGCAATGACTTTTTTAAAATTTTTTTTCTGCTTTGTGGAGGCATCTTTGGCTTCAGAGAGTTGGTGGCGTTACTAAAAGGAGCCCAAGCCTCAGCGGGAGGATGTCAGGAAGGAGAGGTGGGAGAGGAGGTGCAGGGGCAGTGCAGCAGCCCCATGGGACACGCAGGGCAGCAGATGAAGAGCTGTGTTTCTCATCCTTAGGGGCTTATTTTAAAATGAGTCATGCTCTGTGTGGTGCACRTAGGACCAGAGACTGAACCTGTACTGAAATCTCTTGGATATCAGATAATGACACTTGGTAACTAAACCATGTTTTAATGCTGACTGTCACGGGTGCATCTCAAAATGCCGGCGTGTTCCTTTGTCTGGTAGCTCATCCCAAGGCTTGTGGATTCCAGCAGGAGTATATGGGCAAAGCGGCACGTGAGCCGCTGCACCTCTAGCGCTGTCGTTTCCAAACGAATTGACGTAAGAGTCGCTACCTCATCTACATGATTAACTTAGGACAGTCATCAGCAGCATGCCAGGAGCCAGCGAGAAGACTGTAGCCTGCAACCGATGCAGRCTACATGCTAATTCTGTGTTCTAATTTTGTTTTCCAAATCTTGCTAATGATTTATTTGCTCTCTGTATCCAGATTGAGTGCTAGGGAGCGTTCGTGGCAGCAATGGGAGCTCAGGGGAGTCTCGGAGCTGTTGCTTCGGAAATGATTTATAGCGAGACATGCCGGCGTACAAGAAGCCGGTGCGGTGACTCGAGCAGTATTTCATTCCCAGTGCCTGACCTGCTTTGCTCTGAGCAAGTTGACAGTTTAACTGAATACTTCCTGTCCCAGTGCCTAGAAAAATGGTTTTGCATGGGATTTATTTGTTCATTCTCACTGAATGCTCATGCATGTATGTTAATAGGGTGCTCTTAATAGAACACAAGTCCTTACCTCTGAATTAAAGYTACAATTAAGACCCCATTTTCCAAAATGTTATTAGTGGAGCTTGCTTGCTTATGTTTTTCCCATTAGAAGAGCTGCTTGGGGTAACATTGAGTACACCAGGGGCATTGCTGTTTTATTTTAAAGCTATACGTATATATGCAGATATGTACAAGCAAACAGCAAGAAAGAAAAACTGCACACATCCTAGCTTTTTTACATTAAATTTGCAAGCATCTAATACTTTTCTGAAAAAATACTACTTGTTGTGGAGGAGAAACAATAAAAGAAATGATCCAATTGTGGCAGAGCAGATGCTGTGATACTCATACAGATGCCTGCTCCTGAGATGGGATAAGACTCTCACTGGTTTTGATTGCAGTGTGACTCCTATCAAAATGCAGCTCTTGAGAGCTGGTTCCAAGAGGTGAATACTGCATTTGGCAACATGTTCTCTGTGGGAGATGGCAGCAAAAAAGAGAAGATTGATCYGACGAGCACTGGCAAAGTAAACAGTCTTATTTCAGATGGACACATCATCCATTTTGTGTGAATCSGAGAACCACATCTTTAATGGAATAGTCATCCCACAGAAAGAAGAGGAGCTGATAAATGGCCAGCCTTAAAGGAAACTTGACATGCTCCTCTGAAAGGAGAGAACAGCCTAATGAGAGCTAGCTCAAATCTAAATAGGAAAGATTCTTGGTTTGTATTATTTATGTTACTACAGGTGGGTTGAGCTGTGCAGATGTGGAAATGTAGCTGGCTGTACTTGATCAAGACTAAAAACCCCTGTGAGTTCTAGCATTTTCCGGTTTATATCTTGAGAAAATGGAGCAGCTTTTTGAAAAATACTTACTTGCAGAATATTCCTGTTTCTGCTGTGCTACTTTAGTGGTTCTTTACTGTTCACTTTCTGGTCAGTAGATGAGAGGACTATTTTCATCCTCCTTGTTTCTTCTGCCTGACCCAAAGCCTGGGATGTCTAAAATGATTTCTCAAAAGTGACGTGAATGTAGATGGTTCCTGCTTATGTCACGGTGTGTGAAAGCAGAAAGGTCAGTGAATGCAGGAGGGAAACAGCCATGCAGAGCTTGGAGCAAGAAAGCTGACCTCTCTTTCAAATGCTGCTAGAACTAGTCATCCTGTAATGCTGATGTGATTGAGCTTCAGATGTGTCTCCTGGTGAATATGGTCCTGTGCTGGCTCTCCAGAGGGTTGGATATGGAGTGGCACTGAAATTTGCGCTCCTACCTTGTAACAGCCAGTTCATTTTTCAGCTGTTTATACAAAGAGGATGCTGTGAGCAACTAAGGAGCTCTGCTCCCTGGTGAGGTGCAGTGGGGCTTTGAAATAACAGAATTACTGCCTGGAGTCCCTACATTGAGTGTTGGTCCCAAAATGATAACGATTCTGGGCTTCCTGTTGGCCCCTGTCTTCATCAGCTCCCCATCAACAGCAGTAGAAGTTAAGGACTCCCCTGGGTCTGGTTTTGGGGTTAGGGAGAGTCACTGGGTGCTCCCTGCCATCTCAGGCCTCATCTCCTGCCCCTAACTGCTGTGACCATTGCCACCATGAACACATTAATCATTTCAGTGTGACTGCGCTTTCTGTGTGCGCATTTTGAGAAATGGGAATTTAAACTGATGTGGATTTTCTGCCATTTAGAAGCAATCTCAACTGTGCAAAGGATCTGTTGTGTGCTTTGCCTTGGGCTTGCCTGGGTTCTGCCTTTCACTCTGTGGGTCTCATGTGGCAGCATGTCCTGACCTGCTAAGCAGCACGGGTTAAAAATAATACTGAGGATTTATGACTGTGGAAATCTGTCTGTAGTGAACTTACGAATTAAGGTGCTGTTTGCAACTTAAACAGCAGTTTTATGGCATGATGCATGAAATCTGCCTTTTACTGACAGAGGTCTTAGCCTTGCTGAATCCAGGTGAGGTCTCTAAGGTTAGTGATGGTGACTGCCTTAACCTTGTGTTTGCTGATATGGAGGAGGACCAGCTTTCCCTGTRTGGAGTTTGGAAAATTCACTTATGTGGAGCAGAAAGTGGGACTTCATAGAGCAATGGAAACTGCCTCTGAGCTATGTGAGCACAAGCCCGGTGAGTTTTGGACAGGGAAGAGAAGGTGGCTTTAGAAGCGGGAATATTCAGTTTGCTGATGGTCAGGGTCAGGAAGGCAGAAATGACCCTCAGGCCTGAGAGGTGCAGGGAGGACTTTGTGCACCAGAGGACAGGGGCTGCACCTGAAGGAGCAAAGACAGAGCAGTGCACAAAATCCTTGGGTGTAAGAGGAAAGTAGCCTGCCTTGAAGTCTACATGAGCTCTGCAAATTSTCTGATGTCCTTTATGTCCATGAAGAGTGACATGGTCAACCCAGAGCGTGTCCAGGGTTGCAGCTAGAGGATGGGGTGTCCCTCAGCTGCTGTATCTGACTTGCAGGATCCAAGAGCATTTCTCAGKCCTGGGCCAAGGGGAATATGCCATGGGCACATGGGTGCCTTTTTGCATCATTCCTTCCTAATTCCCTYGAAGGAAACCCAGCTTCACTGACCAAAGGAGTCTGAGGGACGCCCCAAGCAGGACACAAGTTTGGTGTTTTATACAGGCCAGAATGCAGCTCATAGTGCGGAATTCCCATGCCCCATGTCCAGTTGTGACTTGAGCATCTGTGAAAAGGGAACCTTGGGAGGATTTGGGGCTTTCACACCCATGAAAACATGGACAGCAGAGAAGCTCTGCCCAGGACCTTGGTGGAATTACAGCGTGACAGCAAGAGAGGTGTGAGAATGCAGTGGATCGGGGTGCCTGGCTTGGTGAATCTCTGCTATGGCAGTGAGAAGGCCGAATAAAATCATGTCTTGGCTGTAACMAAGTGTCTGGCAGACAGAAAATGGTTTCCAAAGTCAAAATGTCTCCTAGATACTGACAGTAAGCTCTCCTTGTGTCAGCTGCTCATTCAGGAAACCGTCAACTCAGAAATAAAATTCAACCTAGGAAGCTTTTTTTTTTCTCCTTCACACTGAGTTCTGGCAGATATGCTGCTACCATCAGTTGCTTTGAAGAAAATCTATGTRAAATGTTAATTTAAGGGATTGGTAAAAACATTTAAAATGTGTTGGGGTAGAATAATAGGCTAGTAGTAGTGGAGCTGTGGAAGATMGCCTTGAATGCTTTTGTCCGGGTTGTATCTGCTGAAGTCCTCTCTTAACTTGATGACGCTTTAATGTTTATGTATAGGGGTGCTCTCTATTTAATGCTTCCAAGTTGCCATGGATATTTTTCATTTGCCCTTCTGTATTGGATTGGAGTACACATAAATTTAAAGAAAATGATGATTTAAATCTTTTCAGTTCTGCTGTACACTTAGATATGTGCTGGAGGATGTTCATTCCTTTTGGTGTTCTTTTGTGTTCTATTCCCGTAGCAATTTTGGGTTATCCTGTGAAACTAACCAGTTTTGTTACCTGTTTGTCAGGTA